GACAGCCATATTACGAAGACACACTGGTTTTCGTACGATTACCGAAGTTAAGCAATGTCGAGTCTGGTCAGTACCTAGACGGGTGACAGGTTGTGAATACCAGGTGCTGTAAGCTTGGATGTTCGGATGGTGTGACTGACGGGCATATCACGATGAAACACCAGTTCTCGTACGATCACCAATGTTAAGCAAGGTCAAGGCTGGTCAGTACCTAAATGAGTAACCGGTGCTATAAGCTTGGACGTGTGAGTGGTGCAATAGATAACAGACAGGAATTGGAAATAGGTGACCCGGGTTCAAATCTTAATATCGTCGATTCATCAAGGACGTGAATTGATAATATCGACTTTGGACCCCCACATATAATTTTCTTAAAAAGTGGAGAAACTTTGATTCAGTCAAATTACAAAGGAAGAGAGGATTGAAGCAATGAATAAGCAATCAAGTCAAGAAAAAACGGAATCATAGATCAAAAGAAATGGAAGGAAGGCAGGAATAAAGGCACGAACGAACAAGGAACTCAAGAAAAAAACAAAGAAAAATATATTAGTATAAAAGAAAGGACGGACGGATTCTGAAGTATAACAACAAATAAAAGAAAAGTAAAAATTAGTAATTAAAAGAACGTAAAGAAAATACCTGAAAGAATAAACAAAGACGAGCAGAATAAAAAATAAACAAAGAAAAGATGAGTACAGAATAAACAAAGAAGAGAAATGAATGAATCTGTGTGGATAATGGTGTGCTAATTAGGGCTTGAAGTGAAAGTCAGAGAGCTGAGTTCTAATTCCAGTCGCAGTCATTATATTCACACAGGGGTAATTACCCTGAGGAAAGGAATCCACCATTTCTCCTCCCTTCAGTAAAAATTATCATTGTCTCATAAAATTTCTTACAATCTAAAAATATTTCCAGGTTTTAAATATCCTGTAAAGGGTTGGTAAGCCGTAATAAACGAATCAATGAAATACTGATTAGCTATACAGGCATGTCATTTAGATTTATTTACATTGTCTGGTATATAAATGACTAGAAAGTACCTTGTTCCCAAAGTGTGGGACCAGTTTATATATTGATTGTAATATATAATTGATCCCCAACTTTATATCCACATTATAATCTTTTGTTTATCAAATTCTGATTAGATATGAATCCAGCTCTTCCCTCCAGCTAACATGCAAAGGGTTGATAAGCCGTAATAAATACAAAAAAATCATTCAGATCATTTTCATTCGGAAATAGTGAAAAGTATTTTGGGGAAAATATTTCAAATCAACCCCACATTGGTCCAACGAAGGAATGATTTCGTTATGACATTCTCTGTATTTGTGATCGAATAATGCAAATGCAGTACAAGTAGAAACCCATTATGATCTCAGAAAGCGACATTTGCCGTAAATACATCGATGCTGATATAGCAGAATCTACTGTTGATTTTAATGCAACCATTATATTTAGAAAACTCAGTGGAAGCTTGAACGTTAGCAATATAATTGCACATTACGAAATGGGATGGTTTGGAAAAAAGAGGCAGGTTTGGAAAAAAAATGCAGGTTTGGAAATTGGTGTCTATACCAAATGTCATCTGTGAAACAACGTGTTTATTATTGTGCAACATTGCATTTTTGTTAGCTCCAAAGGCATCTTTGGCCAGAGACATTACCCGGTATAAATGGATCCTTTCTGCGGATCTTTTGTTAAGTGGCGGTGCTTCCAACTTAGTCGTGGTGGAAAGCCTACTCAGCAGCTTCGAGATGGACTGCATCTAAAAATGATTATTCCATTTTTACGGTAGGATATGCATGCAATCGAAGATTTCATTCCACAGTTCCTTTTCTTCTATATGCAGTGACCCTTCAGGACGTTGGTGATCATAGCTCACCAAAATTTCTTGCTCTTTGTATCGCTTAATAAATTTCGCCTTTTTGTCATCTTTCCTAAACCTTGTTATATCCATTTACTCAAGCTCACGGGTTATGTTATGCGTTGTTTTCCTCTTGCCTTCAGTCTGTCCTGTGAGTATCAAGTTTTCCAAAGCCCCATTCCTCATTATGTGCCATAACCATCTATAAACAGCGTTTCGATGGTATTTGATCAAAATTACGCATGTTCCCATATTGCAAAAATGACTAAATATCTGGAAGAACTCAGCTGGGAAAAAAAAATTCATCTTGCTTACTCTGTGAAATCTCTTTTCTGTAATTACCATTTATTTAGAATTTTGCAAAGCCATCTGGATATATGTCAGTCAGTTATACGCCATGCGTGAAAAACGCTTAGGCAATCATGTATCTTTCGATACATGACTGACTAGGCAGATGTTTTCGCGTACTAAGTTGCAATTAGTTTCTGTGGTAGACCAGTTTTCATCCAGTAAAACTATAGAACCCGGTCTGTCCTGCTATTTACCCATAGCTTGTGGGGAAGGGGCGACAAAAATAGGATTTATACCTTTCCCAAGTGTATTAGCACGTAAGTGAATGTAATGGATTCGACTGGAATTCGAACTCGGCTCTCCGATACCTCAATCCGAGCCACTATCCATTACTCCACCGCACCTGTCTGAATTTCGCGCATGCTATTTACATGCGGACTATTGTCTTCATATTTGTTGTTGGCACCACAACGTTTCGACATTTTGTGCCCTCTGGTCTTCATCAGGGTTGTGTCGATCCAAATAGCCTCCATGGTGTTTCGAAATTCTCTGTATGTTACGCGGATGAGTCTACTTGTGATTAAGGACGGAGTGCACAACGACAAAAACGTGATAACAAGAACAAAAACAACGATGAGGACAATAATCTGCATGTGAATAATGCAAACACCTGGATTGAGAAGAGGTTGAATGCGAACTAATCGCATTAAGCGCATTTTCTAGATTGGCAACATGATCTCACTGTGTTACTGTTGAACTAGCTAGATGCAACAAGCGAGCCAGCAGCGAAGCTCTTAGATCTTGTCGAACTCTCTGTCTTCGTGCAGATAGGAACCTAGACGAGTCTATGCCGAAGGGGGCATAATCTCGCCTGGAGAAGTAGAAAAACCCGACCCCATGTATAGGTGGAATTTTTATCCGTGCCTACGGGCTCGGGTTTGCCCTACATAAAAATCTGCCTTGTGCCACAACCTGAAATTGAGGGGAAGTTGGATAAACATCGCTAGATGCAACAAACCACTTTTACTCTAATAGTTTCTTTTGTCGCACTTCCCACCTGTGAAACTCCCTTCCGATTTCTCACTTCCCAGTTATGTGCCATGCGTGATACACGCTTAGGCAATCATGTATCTTTCGATACATGACTGACGAGGCAGATTTGTTTTTTCTGCAGTAGGTTGTCATTTTTTATGCGGTAGATCCAAGGCTATAGAACCCTGCTATTTACTCACAGCTGAAGGCGGGGGGGGGAGAGAAGAAGAGGATTAAATACATTTCCCAAGGTTATTAGTACGTAAGTCAATGTAATGAATTTGACTGGAATTCGAACTCTGCTCTCCGATTCCGAGCCGCTATACATTACGTCAGTGCGCCTAAAATAATCAAAAAATTAAGCGCAACATCAATCGATATCTTCCCTTTTGTTAACCCTGTCTCTTTTTTGTACTTTCCTCGATCATCTTAATTAACTTTCTTCTCAATCTCTCACTTTCAATCCAAACACCCACCCGCGTTCTATTGGAATTCTCGCCTTGTTTCGAGTGAAATGATTAATAAAAACAGTTATAAATGTAAATAATTTTATAATGGCAACATTGGAAATGCTTGTTGAACACGGCTGTGGTTACCATATTGAAGATTAAAGTGTATTAAGCTCTATTTTGCTTTATTTTTCAATAAGCCGGCTAGAAATTTCGTTACAACCTCGTAATCTCCATGGCCTGGCGTGATCTTTCATTGTATATTTCATCAAGAAAGGACGATTCTCGATTTGATAAGACGAATTGTTGGAAGAACCAACCGATATTCTGAATTTGTTAGAACTTCTGACCAGACAAAGTTGTGTGGCATGAAGCGAAATAATTGATATCCTGAAATTGACATGTCTGCTCAATAATATGGCAGAACGTCTCATTCCAGATCTGTGATTAATTGCTAAATGAGGATAGGCGTCGTTGTCCTGCAACATCTCTGGTCGACATCATTCTCCATAAAAAGTGTTTTCTTTTTTTTTTTTTTTCTCACTCTGTTAATTTAAACAAGTTGACGGATTCACCTGTATTTTTTCTATTAATTTCAATGCATTTTTATCTTACGTCTTTCTTGAAAATTTTCTGGAAACTCGTCATTCATCAAGTTCTGAACAAATGTTGTTTCTTCTTTTTTTTGTCTTTAAAACTAAAATCTTTTTTTCATTTCATTGAAATTTACGAATTCTTCCGGATACCTGATTCAGTTGACTGTGTTAGTTGCAATGCTGATTTAATATTTAGTTGTGATAATTATACAAAATCAATTCAAATTAACCCTCATAAAATTTTCTATCGTTTAAATATTAAACAAAACAAAGAATGGAAGTTAGAGTACAGAGTTATTTTGTTTCTCTTTAACTCGCCATTTTATGTTATATTGAAATTTATGAAAGTGTTCGTACCCCGTGGAAATTCTTGAATGAACTGCTTCATGAATTCAAATAAAACATTCCCAGACTTTATTAGATGTAATTACAAGTAATAAACTGCGGATAAAGTTATCTTAATTAATTTTCAAATTCTAATATAGTCTAGAATATGGTACATGGAATATTTACATGTAATGTAAAGTTTAAGTAGTGTAATAGAAATTAAACAAGAATTAATGGTTAACAATAGAAACATTATTATAAGTCATATCGGAAAAAAAGCAGAGTTGATGAAATGATATAAAACTGAAAAACAAGCATTGCCGTCAGTTATCTCCTGTTAATTCACCTCGCCAAGTTCTCCACCGACTTTACCAGGTATTAAACTCACAACTCGCTGGTTCCCGTGACGGGATTTAACCAACGCCTTTACCCAACGTGACATGTGCGCTAAGAATATCGGTGCGTGAATTTCTTGAACTTATAAACTTAATGTCTCCAGCAACCATTTTTACCAGAGCTGATATTGCAATTTTTTGCTGTTATCATTACATATT